TGGAGGCATGAGTGAATATCCTGGATGGTCAATCACAAAGAAATCGACATCAACTTGGTGTTCACAAAGTAGCAGGACAGCTCAGTCATATACTTTGACAATCTGGACTCGCAGATGCTTCTGTGTCCTTTCCCTTTCCATTCTGAGGGAAGGATTTGGTTGTCCTGGTCATAATCCTGGTCATAAAAGCAGGAAGCCAGGTTCTAGAAGTCAGCCATGCTGGTCCCTGGGGATATGTGATGGGGAGGGTTCAAAAAGAACCATATCACAGGGACAGGATCTCTTACACCCAGTTCCATTTCTAGTGTAAGAAGAGACGAGTGAATGGTTTGTCTACCACCTACCATTTGTGAGCTCTTGACTGAATGGGTTTTCCGAGTTGGTTTTAGGAGTCAGTTCTAAATAATCCACTGTGGTAAATAGAGAGTTGAAAGAAGAGAGTTTTAGTATTTAAAGCACATTGATTTTTTTGCAGTTATTCTCATTTTATCCTCTCCTGTTCCTTCTAGTCCAGTTCCTTTCTTTGGAGTGTGTGAGCTACTAGGTCACTTTTATATGGAGTTTCAACCCATGACAGTGCCTCATTCATGGCCCGTGGGGATGAGCAAGCAGGTGTCTAGCCCAGCAGCTCAGTGTAACACCTTTCCGCCAAACTCCCTCTGTAGCCCAGGTCCTTACATCAGAAACCCCTGGGCAATGGCTCAGTGTTTGCCATCTCCCTCCCATACAGAAATCAGGGAAAGAAGTGGCGAAAACTGAAACAGTCTAGAGATTATTATTATTTTTTCGAGATATGATTTGCATAGACAGAGTTAGCAAATATATAATCTTCTACATAATTTTAAGTACATAAATATTATCAAGTATTTTATAAATGCAAATATTTACATAAAATTTACAAATATTTATATATTTACAAATATGTACTTTGCATATGTATATGTGTATATTCATACACACACACACACACACACACACACACACACACACGGAAGAGTAGAGAGAGATTCCTAGATTTTCCTGCTAAAGAGAATTCTAGCCCAACCTGCATGGCTCTGTGGTTGACCGTCGACCTATGAACCAGGAGGTCAGGGTTTGATTCCCTGTCAAGGCACATGCTGGGGTTGCAGGCTCAATCCCCAGTGTGGGGCCTTCAGGAGGCAGCTGACTGGTGATTCTCGCTCATCATTGATGTTTCGATCTCACCCTTCCTCTCTGAAATCAGTAGAAAAATATTTTTTAAAAAAGAGAGAATTCTATCTTGACCTCTCCATTTCTTCCTCTCACACAGCTTCTGAGGAGGATCCTGACTTGCCATGTCGGTGATTTGGGGCTTTATAATGAAGAACAAAGAAGAAAAGGGAAAGGTAAGATGGGTGAACATGAGGGGTTGAAGCTGAGGTGAGAGTATTTGGGGAGAGTTTGAGGTAAGTATGGCCTGGAAGCAGTTTCAGTTTGTTTTTAAATTGTTGACATTTTTATCCCTCCTACAAAGTGTTTTCGAAGTATAAAAAGAGAAACGGAGTTATTTACAAATGACTTTGGTTGCTGGACTATGCTCTCTGACCACAATATCAGACTCTCAGAATGAGCAAGATGAGCCAGGACTCAGGTACAGAGATTACGTCTAACTAGATTGACTTACCACCTAACATAACTTGATCTTTCCCTTCCTTGTGTGTTAGATCAGGAAGGTCATTTTTATATTCTGAAGCCAAATCTAGTAAAAAACATACTAGGTTTAGAATATAACTAACAACCTGTGCGCTGGTTTAACGCAGTGTTTTCAAACTTGGTTGAACATGACTTACAGTAAAAAATGCATTTTACATTACAGTCCCATACATGCACTTATGCACATACAATGAAATGAAAAGTTACAATATTTACCCTTTTCCAAACTTCTTACCCTTTTCTCATCTTTTCTACTCATCCTTTTCTTTTTATTTAATTCTAGTTCATTGGAAAAAATTCTGGTCTCCTTATCCTTTTATTATCAATTTTATTCTAGTTCAAGAAAAAATGCTAGTTATTAAATTGATTCTCATGACCCACTAAATATTTTTACAACCCACCTAACCCACAATATGGGAAGTATAATATTATATTTTATTCTAATGCTCCTTCAACAAATAGCCCCCAAACCAACCTGAAATCAACCCCACTATCTCCTCTTTATCACCACTCAAGTTCTTTAATCTGTATAACATTATTACATTTATTAGAGGGTCTAAGAACTTAAAATCCTCTAGAAGGCCCATGATCAAGCAGGTTCGACCTCTAAGCTTGACCCCATCAATTGTATGCTTTGTCCCATCACCCACAAACCATATTGCTGAGCTCCCAACCATCTATTCAACCAAATAGCGGATGCCCCTTACCTACCATTCCCAGCTCTACTCATCCTTTCTGGATCCTCTGCTCTTGCTCAGCTACCCTATGTACTGTCTTCTGAATATAGTTTTATACTATCTCAGGTTCATATTTCATGCCTTGATCACTGAAATGTCTCCTTTGCCCATCTTTTCCCCTCTGGTGGGGAACATCCTCTTTCCTAGGCAACCCTCCACTTGCACACCTCCTTTGTACTAAATTACATGAGCAATTCCTACTCATTCTAGACTCAGAGCTCCCATTATGTCTCTTCCTAAAAGCCTTTCATAACACTCCCAGTCTATGTCAGGAGATCCCCTGTGGGGTCCCACTATACACTGGGCCTCTATCATAACACTTCTCAATAAGGTAGTTCTGCTATGTCCCATGCTAGATGGTGAACACTTTAAGGTCAAGAACAATGTTTGATTTATGTTTATGAGCCTAGCACCTAACACAGTGTGTGTGTGTGTGTGTGTGTGTGTGTTAACATAAAATATTCTTGTTCAACAACATTTCAAGGGTACAGTAAGTTAACTGCACACACATTGCTGTATAGTAGATCACTAGAATTCTTTCATCTTGTGTGAATGAACTACACAGTGTCTGAATAAGTGCCCATTTGACTATCTTTAGTTATCTTAGATACAACTAGATTTCAAGATATTATTAAATTTTCTCCATACAGTATAAAATCTTTCCTCTCCTTTCTAGATTACTTATCATATATGTGTGTGTGTGTGTGTGTGTGTATTTTCTTTTGGCCAGTCTTTAGTTTGTTTTGTTTTTTAAATATATTTTATTGAGTTTTTACAGAGAGGAAAGGAGATAGAGAGTTAGAAACATCGATGAGAGAGAAACATCAACCAGCTGCCTCCTGCACACTCCCCACTGGGGATGTGCCCGCAACCAAGGTACATGCCCTTGACCGGAATCAAACTTGGGATCTCTCAGTCCACTGGCCGACGCTCTATCCACTGAGCCAAACCGGTTTCGGCCCTGTCTTTAGTTTTATTGGGCTATTTAATTCATTGTGTATCTTGGCATTTACCTTTTCATATTCTCATGGCTCCTTTCCCCCAGATGTGTTTGTGTGGCCATAACTCCCTTACTGTGTCCCTCAGCGTCTTTCACAGTGACCAGCACATAGAAGGTGCTCAATGAATATCTGGTAATTTCCTTAAAAGATTTTAACAGATTTTAAATATGATCTTATATTTGAGTATAAGATGAGGGTGATGTAGGACTCAACTCCCATTATACAGCTAACAGGTAATCAAATCCCTTTGAAATGCAGTGTCAAGTCTTGGATGAAAAGGGCATTTATTTTTTCCAATTGATATACCTACCATCTGCATATTCCTGATTTTCCTCATTGTCATCTGTGGTAGCTAAGGCAGCCCTTTCATGTTCTAAGAGTCAGAGAATTAAGTATTAACTGAAAAGATTAAACAATTCTCACACATGAATCATCTCACTGATATGTAAATAAGCAGAAATGCCCTAACTCACAAAGTTCTGATTATTTTCAATGCCCCGATCTTGGAATCTCTGGAACGGTGTTTTGGGCAAGGTCCAATGGTGACAGAGTCAAGATCAATCATCTCCACATACACCTTGACCTTTGTTAATAAAAATTCAGCGTATTATCAGCTCATTTTCTTTCAGAAAATCCACTATAATTCAGGTGTTGTGGGAAATTTAGGATTAACTATCAGTCAATGGAGTCAAATTTAGAATGACTGCTCCATAGACATTATCATGAAAGGAATTTATAGTTTTAGAGGTCTGTCAAATGCAGGAAAGCCAACGGCTCCTCAGACTTTTGTGCCTGCACCCTCCGCTTCTGTGCTGCCTCTGAGCTTCATTTGGTTTGGCCACTCCTGGAGACCTGACTTCCCAAAACCCACCCTCTGCTGTGACCTCTTTTCCTTGCAGGCTCCCTGTCTACTCTCACCTTCGGTACTTTGACTTTTAACCTCACTAAACTCTCTCTCCTCTGGATGATCTGAACCAAGGGCAATCCTGTTCCCAGCCAGGTTTGTTTTTTGTTGTTGTTGTTTGTTTGTTTTTTCCAGTTAATCCATTCTGAGAGGCAGCAACTGTTTTAATTGGTTGAAATCTATACCATACTTGTTAAATATTTTCAATACCACCCCTGCCTGCAGCTTTTAATTTAATTTATATTTATTACTTCCTTCTTTATCTAATCTAGACCCCTATAGATCATCACTTCATTGCTTTCTTGCAATTATTCTCAACTTCTTTGATTCATCTCCTTCCTTCCTAAATGGTAAGTAGCATAACAAAACTACTCATTTTCCATTCTCATGATCAATGCCAATGACCAAATTACCTGAGCATCCATTAAGGGTGCCAGAAAACAAGAGAAATATGAGAAAAAATAGAAAAATAAAAACTTTTGGGAAATAACTTGCTATTCCAAATAAGGTCATCATGAAAATATTCAGAATTTTATTGGAATGAGTATATTGGAATATATACTATATTGGAATGCAGTATAGTATTATTTTTATTCTAATTGCAGGGGTGGCACTACACTACAATATTTCAAGACTTACTACAATCATGCATCTAGGTTCTCACTTCAGCTAACTGATCACCTTTGCGAATCACACAACCATACATTGAGAGAATAAAGTTGTTGTTTTAAGCCAATAATTTATTGTAATTTGCTATGGCAGCCTGAGGAAACTAATACATGGGGTATATACAAAAGTTATATGGTCATAGTGTTTTTAAGTTGTGATTTCTTTAGCATTCTTATGAGATGTTTTATTTCAAAGGACATAGTAAACATGGCAGTTTATTTTGTCAATAATTGAGTTCAAAGGTGATAATATAAGGATTTTATTTATCTATATTAAATAGTGATTCAGTTTTAACAAATATTTTAACACTCTTTTATTGTCCCAATAGAACATCACATCTGAAAGATTACCTGGTTGATATGGGTGAAAATATAACAAATCTCCAAGTGCAACAAGTTTCTCCTGTTAAAAAAGTTTACAATGAGAGAATTAAATGACCAGTATTATTAATCATTATTTAATAGAAAAACACTTTGATTCTCGATTTTTTTTTTAATAACCAAGTATTTTTAACATACCAGAAATTATGTAATCAAATGAGTAGTGTTGGTCTGCTGATTTTTTTCAAACTTGTGTTGGTTCCTTATTGTTTTTCAAAATAAGATTCAAATTGAACCCAAAGAAAACAAATGTATGCCTTGGCCTCAGAGAATCGGTTTAAGATCATTATCAAAGTCAGTTGCCTTGTATCTATCTACTCTGACCATACCTGCATCAGATCACTTGTCATTCTGGCCATTGTTTGTTCACTTATTTCGATATCTTTGAGATCTGTGAGAACCACCCAAGTTCCATTCTCAAATTTCACAGGCATAGAAAAGACGATCGAGCCTGAGAAAGAAGATACCTGCCAAGAAGGGCTCCCGGTGGCTAACTGGGTTCTAATTAAAGCAAAGCAAAGCAAAGCAAAGCAAAAACATTCAGAAGCGGACATTATACATGGTTTTAATGATAATGGGGGAGCTAAACCTCTGGTCATTCCTCCCCAGGGCGAGGTGAAACTCTCTAGGAGTATTGATTGGGCACCTCTCCAGGTTCTGGCCGTCCCCCCTTCAGTCTCTCTCTTGGAAGGAAGCACCCCTGCTCCTTCTTCTTTATCCCTCTGTGCTGGGGTCAGACGCCCTGCCTCTGCCTAGAGGGCTGATGCAGCCTTTCTCCTCCACCTGGTGTGGGTTCCTTTTGTCTACTTCCCAAGGCTTTACCTTGTGCCCCTCGGTAGCACAGGAGCCCCAGGCCTTGTCCAATCCGGTCTCCTGCTCTTCCAGGGGACTATGGCAGTCATATAGTTCAGGCATGAGGACTAGGAAGGGAACAAGAGGGAG